AAAAAAAAAAAAAAAAAAAAAAAAAAATTAATGATTAAATTTTGATTGTAAAATAATAAAGAGGATAGACCTTATTTCAACATTATTCATTCCTACAGTTCTGTAACTTCAGAAGTAAATATTTCTTGCGAGCGTTTACGTCCAGATAAAAATTTTTGTTTGTTTTGAGGTCCTAAATTCATATTTTAAGTTTGGCGGTTTTTAATCCGAGAAAAAACCCTGTATAAAGAAGTTTATTACATGCAAAGCAATAAATGTAAATCAATGGCTAAAGAGAAAGCATGCGCAAAAATATTAAAAGTTTATTCATAAAAAATTGACGAATTGTAAATTATGCGTTAAAAAAATCGAAGAATAATTTAATACTCGCAAATTTGTCAGTAAAATTTAAAGTACAAATATATTAATAGAAAAATATAAATAAGAGCATATTTAACATTATCTATATGAATAGGTTTCCGTATAAGAATAAATAAAGGTCATAAAGAAGTCATATCAAAACTATTAAGCATATATATAACAGGGTTAATTATTTTTATTTATTTTAATTATTTTTTTTTGTTATATATATAATTACAATTAGCGTTTGATACATCTTCTTTGTTAGCTTCATTTATTTTTATAGGGAAATCTAATTTATGTCTGATTTTTATAGATTATTAAATGTGTCTGTATTTATATTTTTTATTAATATATTTGTATGTTTTTAATTTTTAATTCGTGAATTGATGAAAACAGTACGAAACGTTTACATTCTTTTTACTATCCACTATTCGTAATTTTTTTATAATTGCACTTTTAAAAAATATATTTGTTCTTTTTTTATCATTATTTTTATCTTACATTCATTTATTGCTGTCTTATTTATACACCCATATCATCATTATATCATTAAAATTTTGATAATTTTTCAGGTAAAGAAAGAGCAAACTTCTATGGAGGAGAAAGACGAGTTTGATACGCTGGTCGATTCTAATACTAAATCCCTCGAACAAAGACTTGGAAATTCTCCTGAAAAAATGGAAAAGAAACCTGCAAAGAAAGGTACACAAACTTTAATTCATAAATGACATATAGCGGGTATTACAGCGAATATTTTAATGATAAACTTTTTTACTCTTGCAAACAGGATTAAAACAAACAACGTTACAATTTAAACCACTCAAGAAAGGAGCCAAAAAGAAGGATAACGATTCAGATGAAAGCGAGGACATCGATTTCGGTAGTATTTCGCCACTTCCACAACCACGATCGTCTCGTAGAGCCACAGGTATCAGTCTCTTCATTTTCCTTTTGAGTCAAAAATTTATTAAAATAGATTATATTATGTTTTGTTTTTCCGAAAATCTTTTATTCTTTATTTCTTTGTTTAAACAATAGCCAAGAAGAATTATAATTTTGACAGCGATGATTCGAATGAAAGTGTTCAAGAATTATTCAATCAGTCTTCTGATTCGGAACAAACGTAAGTATAATTGTTATATATCATATTGATTTGCTTCAAAGTTATTTCTCCACACACATCGCGTATTTTGTTTAGATCCAAGAAGAAAACCTCCCTTATAACGCTGAGTGATTCCGACGACAATATTAAACCGAACAAGAAACCACAATCAGCACGTAAGCAAACATAATATATATTTAAATTAAACAATGTGTTTATAGACCTTAGAAAATATTAGATATTTATTTATTTCTGCATAGCGACTTCAGAAGAACTTTTTGATTCGTTAGTCGGTAATTCTCCTGAGAAGCAATCTTTACCTGAGAAAAAACCTTTAATATCCTCATCCGGAGAAGATTCGCCTATAAAATTTGCGTCACCTAAGAAGGGTAATAAATGATTATCTGAATCATACAGCTAAATAAAAGTTATTTTGTAATCACTGTTCATCTCTTATATTTACAGCACGTTCTAAGAAAAAGACTGAGAACGGTGGTAACAAAGGAGTGAAGAGACAGTTGAAGAAAAAACTGAAATCGTCCGAGGATTCTGACACAGATGAGTTATTTACCACTAAACAACGAGTAAGCGCGACATTTTCAATATATTCAATATAATAATTAGGATAGTATCGTAAACATTTTTTGTTGATTTAATTTTCATTTACAGAAGAAGAAAAAGAAGGTATCAGAATCAGATGAAGAAAAGGTATCTGATGATTCGCCGCCCCGAACCGGTAGAGCTCGGAAGCCAGTATCTTACGCACTAAAATCAGATGACAGCGACGACTCCGATTGAACATCACCCTGAAAAATGCGAGACGTAGTTGACTGGAGTAGTTTAGAGTGTGGATCGGACAACACGAGACAAGACGAAACTCACAAATCGTCATGAAGAGATGTTGCACATAAGTTTATTTGGAGAATTTTCAGAGATTTCGTCCCCGCTGATTGTTGGTCGTGAAATTAGTAATAATTTTATGAGGGGTACTTCGAACAGGATCTGCCAGAATGTGGAATATGTTCTAAGAATAATTTTGAGGGCAGAAATAATTTGGAATAAAAATTTGTATTTCTGCTTTTCTTGAGTAACATTCGAAGATTTACTTGAGCAACACAGTTGCTCGACCTCTGGCACATTCTTCCTGAAATGCTCCATACAATGTTGTACATAATTTTACTCTTTGAGTATAAGTACGCATAAAATGTTGCGAATGAATGGAATTTCGTGAAATTAAAACGCTGTAGACAGTGCTGCAGAATGTACCCTGAGTGTGCTCAGAATACTCACGTAAATTTCATCGTATGATCGAAGTCTCCTCGGAAAAAAAATTCTTTTAGTGCAGACTGTATATTGTGTTATATTGTGATATCGAATTTTCACGTGTTCGTGTTTTATTTTTTAAAAGCTCGAGGAGAATACGTGGTACGCTTCTATCTTGCAAAAAAAATGTCCAGCGTCGCCTCTATGCTAGATAGAATAATGCTATCTATGCTAGATAGATTAATTAGTACCGCGCAAAACGAGGGAACACTTCTCCAGCGCACAATCGTTATTACTCTCCTCGTCAAAATTTTATTTGTATATGATTCGATAAAACTGAAGGAAAGAGAAATAGAAGAGAGAGAGAGAGAGAGAGAGAGAGAGAGAGAGAAAGAGAAACATGTCGATTCCGGAAAATAAACGTAGAAAATGAAATAAAATATGAAATATATACAATTTTTAAATATATTTTTACATACGTCACAATATGGATTTTTTTCAGGTTATCTAAAGACTAAAAGAAATTATACAGCGGTAACTAACTATTATACATATATACATAGAACGGATCTTAGAATTATGCGGCGCTCAATATCGATTAAGCAAAGCTGTCGGACGTTTTAACTTTATACTGACCACGCGTAGAAAGTAAATTTACTTCATGCTCGTGTCTCATAGGTAACAATTTGTAGATTTTGAACTGTTGAGCGAGAGTCAAGACGTGATCGAATAGTTGAGAGAGTCACGATTGTAACTAGAATTAGAAAAAAAGAGCCGGAGCTAAAAGTTAATGCGAATCAAAAACTGATCGATTCCCCTCACAATTTACGTGCTTATCCTCCTCTCTCTCTTCTCTCATATATAAATGTTTTTATTTTACTTTCCATATACGAATTCGAAGAAATTAATTAACTTCGAGGCATATTTGGTGTTCATTGAATTTCACTTCTCCGACTACAATTATACTAGTTCTGTGTACGCATAACTTGTTCACTCGTAGGATAAGATAAAAAGAATTATTGTGGTTGTAATTAGCGCAACGATTTTACACCTGCTATTAAATGAATATCTCAATACAGAGACCAGTCGATTAGCCCTCGGCCCAAAACGCGCGCGTTCTCAGCCTAATCAATACTTCGTGTAACCTTGGCGATTTTCATTTTTATATAATTCACACATACTAAATACGTATATATAAATATATAAATAAAATGTTCTAACTTTTGAGACATTCGGCAATTCATTGTTCAACATCGTTCGCCAAAAACGAAAGTGACGGAAGAGAAACGAAAAACAGCGGGGATATCATGCATACCGTGAGAGATGCGTGTGATTTATATTTAATTAATAAGTTTACTAATTTTAAATTATACACAAATACGTAAAATTTATTGCTATAACGTTTTCATACACCGCCCTCGACGCAATTCCTGTTTCTTTCCTTTTCATTCTTTTTTTTTTATCATGAGGAAGATCGTGACTATATGCCGACATGCAGGGACGATTGGAAAAGAAAAAAGTATTTAGTATTACGGATATTATAGTAGTATGTAGATGATGGCAATACCTTATAGTCGATGGGAAGGTATTTTCCTTTCTATTTTTGCTCAGTGAAAAGTTTTCGATAAAATCCTTTTTTTTTTTTAATTTTTCCGTTTCTATTTTACATGCACGTGATTGCATTCACCGATTACGTTCACAGAGAATTCCATAGATATGTATAAATGTAAAATATCCTTCCTGTCGCAAAGTATACGAACCCTATGTATTCTCGCGTAAATGTTCATCATTCACCACGAGAGATCTCGAAGGCGTTAAACGCTTGGCAAATTACACCTTCGAATAATTTTTTTGAAGGCCGGCTGCAGTAAACTTTTAGAGATAAGCTCTACTCAATCTAGGTTCATCGCGCGAAAATGATATAACGAAGAGAAACAATGCAGATAACAATTTTTTGCATTTTATTAGTCGCGTTAATACTTCCTCCCTCCCTCCCTTCTCTTTCCTGTCAGCGAAAAGAATTTCGGAAATCCACGTCGTAGAGGAAAACTATGTCGAATTGCAACGCGGATATCCCTTTGGAATCATGTTACATCATAGGGCGTCAAAGAGCACGATTAATGCGACGTCGCGCTTGTAAAATGAAAAAAGAGCGCACTGCGTTTTTTCGCGAAAAAATGGGATGTGGGATGCAGGAACGGTTGATATTCTTTTTTTTTTTTTGTCAAAATTGAAGCGACGGATCTAAGTAGTAGACTCTGTTCAGACTTGTAATGTATTCTCCTCTCTCACCACACTTCTGCCAATCACATTGATGGTATTGAAATGTCATCAATACCCCGGTGCCCACATTGTACCAATAACTGACGCAATATTTTAACAACACACGCACTCGTTCGCTTTAATCTCACTTTCGCTCTCAACACATTCTCTCTTCATTCTCTCTTTCTCTCTCTTTCTTTTACTCCCAGAAGCTACGGCTCGCCGACGGACGCGACTATAATACAAAGCAAGGGCACTTGATAAAATAACTTAGTTTTCTATTTCATAATTATCTATATATAACGTACATATATAAAACAAATTACGAGTAAAGAAATAATGATTGGGTCGGTATAGCATTTCACGGGCTTTCTTAGCTTAAAGATTTGCTCGTTTTTCCTTATCCTCGTCATATTTTTCCCGTATTTCTCGTCCGATTAATTAATTATAAATCATTTAACCGTTTCTTTAAACTTGCTCTGTACACACACATTTGGATCCGCGCTTTCTCTCGCTCTCTTTTTCTCTATCTCTCTAATTTTAGAGAAAATAGGGAGAAAAGAGAGGAGAGAAGAAAAAAGGAGGAAGAGTGAAGGAGGAAAAACGTAATGCGTGACTTCGTTATAGCGAATCGATATGGGGTTTTAAACTATACACGCGTGAGAACGGGTTTTACAAGTGGTGATGATAAGTGGTGGACTACGATGCTTTTTTTTTATTCACTTTGGGAGCACATCGCGACTCTCTCTCTCTCTTTCTCACACACACACTCTCGTTTTCTCTATGCGATTCTCACTTCGCTCTCTATCGGACTATCGTTCCGGCATTATAGATAAAGCCCACTCTCGTCTCAGAATAGGAACAACCAATCAAATCTCCTTCGTGTACTCGTGTCGTGTATGTGTTTTCGTATGTGGGCGTGGATGCGCGTGTATGTTAACCGTTATTAGTCATGATACAGGTAATAATGTTAATATTCGAATAAAGTAACATGATGCACAGGCCGAGCATTCATGGAATGCCGGTACCGGCGCCGGAGGTCATGCGAGGATAGAGCCACCACAGTTGTCTTCCCACTGTCAATGCTTGTCGTCGTCGTCGTTCTTTTTACACCATATATATATATATTTATATATATAGTATAAATATATACACTCACACTAATTTTAACAATCCTCTATCGTTCGCTCACGCACACTAAAACGCCGGGAGAGAGAAACGTCATCTCCGTGAAAGCGATTGCTCCGATTGCTTTTCTCGACTTCTTCCTACTTTTTTCTCCTATTCTTCGTTGCTTCCTTTATCTCATCAACTTTATTTTGCTTCCATCGAAAAAAAAATTCATTTTACTTTATTTTCTCGTTTTACGCTCTTGCGCTTTCTTTCTCTCTTTCATACATGCTCTATTTCCCCCCTCCCCTCTTATTCTAGACGTCACTTTTATCTCGTAATGACTTATCACATGTTATTTTCTCGTTCGCACGCTCGTTCGTTCTCTCTCGCTCTCTTGTTTCTTTTAAACACTATTATCAAGTCATCGCACTGTTTGATACAAGGAACGATAATACAATTGAATATTTACGAACACAACATTGTTTCTTGTCATGCTGAATAATGTGGCGTGGCTTGTAGAAAGACGCAAGCTCCTGGACTTGCGGGTGACCAGTCTCGCATCTCTCTTGCAATGTCCTATGTAGTCGATCCTGTAAGTATAGTTGTGATGGTGTGGTGATGGCGGTGGTAGATGTA